GGGGGGGGCGGGGCCCGCCGCCCTCCGCAATAAAACTTTTTTGATGTTCGCCCTGCTAATTGCCCAGCTCCTCTTTTAGGATTGGCTGCCCCTCCGCATCCATAATGTAATTAAAACGAGGGGGGGAAAAAATTATCATGGAGGCAGAGGTTAATGCAAGTGTTTAGCAGATGCCTTACTGTAAAATCTGCGTTAAAAAAAAATAAATAACCAAAACAAAACAAAACAAAAAAAACCAACCCAACCAAAAAACCCACCAAAGTCGTTAAAACTTAAATATCGGATAATCTCAAACCAGGTACAGTATGGATCCAAGGAATTTCTTGGCGAAAATCTATGTGAGAGCTCGGGACGCTCCCGGGTCCCTTCTTCCGAAGCGCTTTGTGCCGCCCGGGCGAGAGGAAGGAATAAATCCGGGCTCGGAGGGCCCCGCACCGACGGCCCGGTGCGGGACGTGCCCCGGTAGCGCGGGCCGGTGCTGCCGGTTGTTCGAAGGGGACAGAGAGAGCCCTCGGCAGCTCCCCCGAGCCGGGGGACGCAGCTCCTCCGCCCCGTCTGTCACCCGAAGGCCGGCGACAAGAAGCCACCCAAAGGCTGGCCCCGGCTCCGGGCGGCTCCGGGGGAGCGGGGGGCTCGGGGCTGGGCCGGGGGGGTTTCTTCCCGAAAGAATCGCCGTCAGACACCGCAATAAACCCGGCTCTAACTCCTTCTCTTCCAGCCTCCCGCCTGCGCCTCCGCGCCTCGGCCGCCGCTCGCCCGGCTGGTTTGCGCTCCTCTTCCGCGCTCCTCGGGACTGCTCCGAGCGGTGAGTAACCCAATCGGTTTTACAGCATGTTCGGAGCTTATTTTCTAGCTTTTACTAACAAATATATAAATATTTCGCCGCATTCCTCCTTCTGCAATAAAAAAGGAAAAAAAAAAAAAAAAAGAGAGCAGCATGTGCGGCAAACAGGTTTAGTGACGGGAGGGATGGAAGGGGAATAGTTAAATGTTTGTTTAAGGGCCAGGCCAGGAGGAAATCTCCCGGAGCTATTGAGGTGGTTTTGCTGGGGGAAGACTTGAAGACGTTACAAAGGGAAGACGGGTCTCGAGCTGTAATTCACTTGGAGGCGAGGGGGCTTGTTGTCATCTTCCCGTGGAGCCGAGCGTTCCCCAAATAGCTGCGAAATATCCCGCACCCCCCCCCCCCCCCCCCCCCCCCCCCGTTCGGAGCCGCCCCGGCCCCGGTGGTGGCGGAGCCGCCGAGCCCGCGGCAGCGCCCCCTGGGGGCCGCGGCGGGGATGGAGCCTCCCTCGCCCGGCGAGCGGGGGCCCGGTGTGGGCCTG